TCAACTGAATGCAATTCCTTGATCTTTGTTTACCGTGTAACATTTCATTTTATTCAGTCTCCATTTCTGTTGGTTAAAATCCCACAACAACTAGCTTTACAAAGTGAATTCTCACTGCTCAGAACATTTTTCTTTTCGCTCCGGATGATAGTCCGCTCAAGCTCCTGACTCATAGGTCATGTTAATTTTAGTCGCTGAGCTGGCGACTTGCGTTCTAATTTAGTCGCCAGCTCCAAAATTCTAGTCACCATGGTGACTAAAATGGTCGCAACTTGGAGGGTTGTTACAATAAAATTTCCTACCTTTCTTTTTGTAAGATTCAAAAGCTTTCTTGTAGTCATTAACAACCTTTCTGCAATACTGTTTGGCATTCACCTCTTCCCGTCTGTAACATTCTTGGACTCTGTCATGGTATATTTTCAATGTTTCCAGCTCTATTAACCTTTCCAATGCCCAACGTTCCCTTGCTTCCCAAAAGGCCACAGGATCCCTGCGGTCAATTTCCTCAAATGTTGGGGATTTCATCATTTCATCATACCTCTTCATGAACTTTTCAGACATCTTGAAATTTATAAAAAGAGGTGGTGTGATGTTACACACAAACAAATAACAAAATTACAAACAGGACATTTTTGTAGCTTTAACAATACCAAACCAACCATACCAGTGATCAGAATTGGTTGGGGAAATTTACAGTCAAAACCTGTATAGTGTATAAATGTCACTATACATAACATAACATAACATAGGACATACATGTACAATATGCACAAGAACCAGCCAAACATCCCCAAACATTTCAAGATCTAGATTTTCTTACGGTAAATCACATCATTTATATTTAAGCTTAAAAACAGTATCCAACGATTAAACAGAAAGCTTACTTAAAACAATACGATCACTATTACCTTTTTATCATGAGAACCGAAAAGAGGTTCTGTGTTAAGTTCCTCCTTGTTGTTATATTGTTGCTACTCGAAAGACTACTTGAAATAGATTCAAGATGGCTTCACGACGAAAGGCGCGAAAAGTACGTCATATAAGATCCACAATGATATCCTGCGTGAACCACAGTCAATCTGAGTCAATGGGATATTTCGTGCACCAAAACAAGCCTTATATAGCACCTACCTTTTTCTGGGTTTTAGAAGCTACGGAAGGGATAAAAAAAAAATACAACTGGAGGGCGTCAAGCAGAAGGGAATTCGATACAAATAAGTCGATGTACAATTAAAGTGAGCATATTTGAAGCCTATATTGAAAGTTCTTGCTTCCGCAAAATATATGTAACGTGGACTCGAAAAAGAGGCGCCATTAGCTACCCCCCTGTAAGGAATTCACACGACAAAAGCCGTATGTCACGTGTCGAAGTTCTCTTTCCCTGTGCTCGTAGAGAACATGGTGGGTGCTCTAGGAAAACTTCAAACGTAATCTGTCGCTTGTTGTCATTATTTTTTGCCATCTGGCTAAAAGCAGTGGTATCCTGATCAACTAACTCTTGCTGCTCATCGAGGATGGGTTATTTTTGTTTTGTAGCTTACTTCTCATTTATGAAAAGACTTTATCAGTCTCATGTTTTCCTGCAAGCACGAGAAACTAAAATTTTTCTCAGCATACTAAGCCAATCTTTCAGCTTTTCATACCTTGCGATGCTGGGATTCGAGACTTGCATCATTAAAGAAGATCGTGCTTGATTTTTTATTAGTTTTGAACGGAGTTATTTAAATAAAGCTGTGAAACTCCATGAAAAAAACCTTTCTCCCCCCAGTTAAAGTTCCCCATTCTGGGGGTATTCCGAAGGTTCTTTTTTCCCACAGAAGATTCCAGTGGTGCTTCACTTAATTACTAACAATTTGAATAAAATATTTTCCATGAGTTGCCTTACCTAGCTAACAGCAATCTTTTATTTTAGTCTCATAGAAAGTTCAGAGCGCCTAGGCATGGCTCCTTGGGTTTCCTGCCTCGCAAGAGGTGCAAACATCATAATGGAAGAATAAAGTCCTTCCCCAAGGATGACCCAACACTACCTCCTCATTTAACAGCTTTTGTGGGTTTTAAGGCTGGCATGACTCACATCGTACGAGAAGTGGAGAAACCAGGATCGAGTATGTGTCTTGTTTGACTGTGTTTTAGAGTCTGGTGAATTTACATGACTGGTAACCGTTGTTCTAATGGCCAAAAACATGTTTTTCATTTTCCAACTATTCAAAACAAAACCTTAACAAAACGGCAAAATTTTGAAAATTGAATTGTTTGTGTACTATTTGGAACAAATTTCTTTATTCACTTGTCAGAAATTCACAAGAAGGAAGTAGTGGAAGCAGTTTCCATCATTGAAACACCACCTATGATGGTTGTTGGTGTTGTTGGCTACATTGAAACTCCCCGAGGACTGCGTGTTCTCAAGACAATCTGGGCTGAACATCTCAGTGAGGAATGCAAGCGCCGCTTTTACAAAAACTGGTATGTGGTAAATGTAGATGAAATGAAGTTAAGATCTTCAGTAGGAGACTTCAATTAAGTTAAAACATCTCTTTTTCACTCCTCTCTCCATCTGTTACTGGCCAGTGTTATACTTACAATTGCATACTACAACTGAAGTCAAGAGCATCAATAGTTATTGTAAACCTCATGGTACCTTATGGTAAACTTGTTTAGTAGCATTCATAGTTTATGTGGTGCACTTCTAACTGGTGTTACCCACAAAGTGCCTTTTCTCCGCTCGGCATGTCATTGCTGATGAGATTTGGCTTCCCCATTTTCTCTTCTGTTTCATCAACCGTGCCCATGCTGGTTTGTACATAAAGGTGCAAGTCCAAGAAAAAGGCTTTCTCTAAGGCTTCCAAGCGTTGGGCAGATGAGGATGGCAAGAGTGTTATTGAGAATGACTTCAACACCATGAAAAAGTACTGCAAAGTCATCCGTGTCATATGCCACACACAGGTAATTATTGATTTATATATATGTATGTATGTATATATATATATTTATATTTTGAAACCATGTAGTTATAACAGTGTTTGCCAATCCTTAATTCCCCAACTTGTTACAAAGTTACAATTCCTCTGTTGTTATTTTTGTAGTATTTTTCTCTTTTTAGTTCATAGCAGCAGCCAACTGGCACATGATAATATTGATACCATTTTAAAAACAGTTTTATGAGACTAAAAAGTTCATTTCAAAATACAATGCTGTTATGAAGTGTCATATTTTGTCTCACAATTTTATTGAAGGGTTTAACTACTTAGCAACTTTTTAGCAACTAAGCAATTGTTTTTGCCCATCAGTCTGCTAATGACAGGATGCTACATACAGTACAGTTGAATCACCCTCAAGAAATAATCCCTCCCTCATCTAACTTTTCCTTATCAGCTTAGATATTCTAGCATCGTCGCACAACACTGTGCTTCAAACAGAAAATTAATTGGTAGTGAATACTAATTCAGGTGAGTTCAGATCGAAGCATTTCATCAGAGCAGCTTTAGACCACAAAAGGCCACACCACAAATATTGTAAGCCCATCTAAAACCTCTTAGGAAGTTTGTTTTTTCAAAAGACTCCAAAATATGGCTTGTAGCAACCAAATATATTGATTTTATGTCAATCACATTCTTGTCATTGTAGCAAAAGCTTGTGAAGCTTGGTCAGAAGAAAGCTATCATTAAGGAGATTCAGGTCAATGGTGGCAAGGATGTAGGAGAGAAAATTGACTGGGCTCGTGAACGCCTTGAAAATCCTGCTCCTATTCGTAAGGTCTTTGCAAAGGATGAGATGATTGACATCATTGGTGTATCTAAAGGTCATGGATTTAAAGGTGTGACGTACCGTTGGGGCACCAAGAAACTGCCACGTAAGACACACAAGGGTCTACGCAAGGTGGCCTGTATTGGAGCCTGGCATCCGGCTCGCGTGTCTTATTCTGTTGCCCGTGCTGGTCAGTTTGGTTATCATCATCGTACTGAAATCAACAAGAAGATCTACCGTATTGGTCGTGGTATTCACACCAAAGACGGAAAGGTTGTCAAAAACAATGCTAGTACTGAGTATGATCTCACAGACAAGGCAATCACTCCTATGGTGAGTTTACATCATACAGTTAATACAGTAAACAATTTATCATGTGAATCACAGAGGTCTGATTGGCTATACTTGTATTAACATGTATATTATGGTGGTTATTGTGTTCTGCCTGTTTCTCACAGACAGAACAGGGCTCAACACTAATGGTAGCCAACTAGCCACAGACTACATGTAGTAGAAATTTAGTTTTGGCTAGTAGGTTTTTTATTTCGACTAGCCTCTTTGGCTAGTAAACAAAATGGAATTGGCTGAACTAGTTTCTTTCTTCCTCAAGGAGGAGAAATGCAAACACTTTTCTCGGAAACAAGGCCAGAATTTCATTAGCGTATTATGTGTTACTGGGCACATGCTGTTCAGCAGGTATCCAAATTTCAGTTTGTTTACTTTTTGCTGTGTGGTATGGGTGACTGAACATGTTATTATGTTTAAGGAAATATTTGACAAACAAGACAGCATTTTCTGAAAGCAAACATTGAAGTTCTTTTTTGTTACAAAATTAGTAGAACAAAACATGAGCTTCCTGATAAAATCACGCACAAAATCGTGCAGAACTGTCAAGGGATAACATTTCATTTAGAATATTAAAAACACATGGGTGATTTGTTGTCATGTGCATACTGACAAACTTACCACTACAAAAATAATTGGATGAGAAAGATTTATTTCCTTCAACATTTAAATCAGCC